GCTGGGGAAGGGTCTCTCCACCACAAAACTGGGACGCAGCTTCATAAAGTTTCGGATGAGCAATTCCTGTTTTCCTGCTAACCCAAATCGAGCTAAAAATAGAAGTAGTTCAGCTGTAATTTTAGGAATCAGACAGAGTTCTTGTAGATACAGCTTTTTTTAAAAAAAAAAAACACTTATCAAACAACACAATCAGCGAGATATCGGACGAATGCTCAGCACATTGCGCATGAAACCTCCCGCTCTCGGGTCTGTGACACGAGCTGTCTGCAGCAGCAGCATGCCTCGATTTTCTTATTCCACTAAACATGTGATGTTATAAATGGAAAGGTCCTGTTCCTGCCGTGTTTACAGCGTGCAGCCTGCTACCTCTGGCTTTTCCATTTAGTTCTCTTCTTTGCGGGCGCAGTCACTGAAGCAAGATGTCATGCGCTTTACAAAAAGGACAAGCTCGGCAGAGCATCCCAACAGTGATGTGTGCTGGGTCTTTGGTGAGAAAATCCCGTCTGGGGGAGATTTCTGAATAACAGGGTGATTTTGGAAATCTGCCTGTGCACAGTGCCAAATGGGTGGCCCTTACAGTGCCAAGCTGAACGAAATCTCAGAATTATGTTTGAAGAGATCACTTGATGGGGTCTCTTCAGATGGGAATTTCTCTGGATCCATCTGGCATCTTTTCACATCTGTGGGCCCAATGGATTTTTTTTTCTTTTTTTAGTTGAAACGAGCGGCTCAAAGCACGTATACGAAATTTGCATAGATTAATGGCATGCTGCACAGACACTCCTCTCCACCCCATAGAGAATTCAAACAAGGCAGGAATTAAGGGATGCGATTATGTACTTTGTCTAACGGCAAAAGCCACTTCTGCTTGATTAGGTTGAAAGCTAAACCTTTTTGGGTTAGTGGTTTAGCTGTCGTTAAAAAGGCATGGAGAGAAAGAGAACCATATTTCCTACATGCATCCCCAGTATATATGGGGCAGTCTGTACCTTTTGCTTTGCTGCAGTACCATGCCGTCCTTTACAAAACTGTGGGGTTTTGTGGAGAGTTGCACTCACTTTTCTGAGCTCAGTGGGACGAGAACAGGTTGTATAGAGCAGAACTGAGCGTGGAAGCGGGAGAGGATGGATTTAGCGGGGACTTCCACTTCTCAGAGCAGGTAGTCAGATTTGCCCAGTGGAAGAGGTAGCTTTGAGCTGCAGTCTCAGATTAAGGCTGTGTTAAACTGCAAGGACAGAGCTTTAGAAGCCAGCACACTGCTTGGACAAATCCCTCCAGATAATCAACTCTTTGGGACGTGAGCCCGAAAAACACTGAGGAAAGAGTTTGTGATACATTAATTTTCACTCCAGCTTGTTCCCATTTTTGTGTCAAACCAAATACTTTTTCAGAGCTGTAATCAAATATTTTGTAATCTGCCAGTGTATATCAGTAATGAAAATCTAAGACAAGCATCTTATGTGTGATCACAATCTTTGTACAGTGTTTTCTAAGATAATTAAGCACATTTTAGCAGGTTGGTGTTTTACAAGCATATCAATAATGTTTAACACTTCAAAGGTGGATATTCAAAAACAACTGAGACGCATAGGATGTGAAATCCTAGTGAAAGCCAAAGCAATACATGGTTACAGCTTCCTTGGGAGGTTTCAGAATCTACCTCCCAGCTGTTGATTCTACTTAGAGGTGAAGTTAGAAAATTTGGGTCCTCTCCAGAACCATTTAAACAGTGTCTTGCCTGGAAGGCCGATATTAAGGGTATGATATTAAGACTCCTCTTCCTCTGCTCATAGTACCTGGGCTTTGCCAGTGCAGGAGCTGTGAGAGCAGTGGAGATGACCTGCCATGGACAAGGTCCACGACAAATCATTTATTCCAATTCCAGCTCACCTTCCTCGGCTTTATCAGCTGGAAGCTCTCAGGGTACCGTGAGTGCTGCTCGCTGCAGTCATGAAAACCTGCGTCTTGCCGAGACTGCCCTGCTCAGCTACAGCCCTCCTGCATGACAAAAATCTGAAGTTCAATAGACAGGCATTAAATTAAGGTCCACACAGTGAGTAAACTATTTATCGACAAGTCTGTTTGTGCTTCTGCAACTCTTACACGTTTTACACACAGCCCACAAGGCAGTATGGATAGGCTTCTTCAGCCTCTTCTTCCAAGCTGCTCATGCCTTTTCTGACAATATTTATTGGTTCCTTGGAAGTTTTCTTCCAAAGAAACATCACCCTCCTTTTTTTACCTTTTTTTTTTTTTTTTTTTGGCATCCCATGCCTTGTTTTTCTCACCAAAGAGGAGTCAACTGCACATGAGCAACAAAAGTGCTTTGTCAAATATAATCTCTGCCCCCCTGTTTGGATACAACCAGGGCAAGAAATTAAGAGAAGGCATGACAGGACAGAGCCTGTAGTTTGGCTGAATCAGAAGAAACTAAAGCCCCACTGATTTCTGTTTTGAGCCCTTTCTTTTGGAGTAGTTTTGAACTAGGCATTAAGATAACCCCCCATCCCTGGCAGGTTGGAAGTCACAGCTGATGTAGCCTGTAGCGAGGTCTATATAATGGCCACGTTGTAAAAGTCTCAGGAATACATGAGCTATCATTCAACCCCTGGCATTTTCCTATCTCCTGAGCCCAGTGGGGCCTGTTCCCTGAAATAACTATATCTGAACCAGGAGAAATCACTGGCACGCAGTGAATCAGTGACTGATCTCCACTGTTGTGAGACAGACTTCACTGGAAGGGAAGATCTGTGGCCACATGTCATGGCACTAGATCCACTGCACAACGCGGGTCCTCGTTGGATGAGTAGAATGGGCAGAGACTGGAGAGCTGAATTGCCTGCGGCCACACGGCCCTTCTGGTTTGTCACCCTAATGAGGAAAGCCTTTCCATCCTAACGAAGCACCCGATCCCTAATGAGGAAAGCCCTTCCATCCTAACGACGCACCCGATGGAGATGTGTGCACGGAGCCTCCCCTGCCCAGGGCACGGGAGCAGCGAGTCCCACCTCCCGCACTGCTCTCTTTACAGAGATTCCTGTTACCGTTCCTGAAAGCACTGTGCTTTCAAATAGGAATGATTTACCTGCCCAAGAGCTGTGCTTTCAAATAGGAATGCTCTACCTGCCCATTTGCACAGCCACTTTGAACCCCAGCACGAATCACAGTGGCTGCTACCACCAGAGAATAACCGTTCTCACAGATGCTCCAGGTGGGATCAAAATACAGCCACATTACAAATGCCCTCCTGTCTGTCCTTTGATCTAATGTGTGGCTCTCAGTTTTCTAGCTGTTTGAATTGCTGGCAAAGGTTTGTGACAGTCTCGCTCGGGAAAGCCCGGACCATTACTAAAACGCATTGATTGCCCTGAACGGATGTTTTTGAGTCATCTTTTCATGTGCAAGGATGCAAGGTTGCAATAACTGCTGCTTCACTGGCTGGGCTCCTGCCTGGGGCTGCTCAGGAGGTGGGATATGTTAGGAATATTCCTAGCAAGGGTATATGGCAACAAGCCAGTGGGCAGAGACAAAACTGATCTAGTACCTGCCCTGGTATAAAGGGGGACACAAGGTTGTCAACAGCAAAATCCCAGCACAGGATGCACAGGATGATGGTTCGACTCCTGGGTTCGTGCACATCCCCATCTCGTGCTGTGATGGCAGGGAAAGCCCATTAACTTATCCTCAGAAACCCATGATTTCTGATGCTGAAGGCTCTGGAACAATTTGTTGCATCTCAAGGTTTGCTGTGAGAGATAGAAACACACAGCAGAAACATCAGGCTGTCTCTCTTGGCCAGCTGAAAAATTTCAAATTCAAAGGTAGAATCAAGAGAAGAAAGAAGGGGAAGAGAAAATTGATTTTGTTCTCTATATTTTGATCCTGCTTTTGGTTTGAGCATGTGAATGGGCTTTGTCACAACCTCTGACTGTCTCTATCAAGCAGCCTCACTTACTGTGGGGTTTCGTGCCGCAGGAGGCCTCCGTCACATCTTCTGGTTTTGAATCCCTTATTCAGACCCAACAGTTCTCGCTCCCACTTCTCTGCCTTCTTAAAAGAAAGTTGTTCCAGAGCTAAACTCCTCAACTTCAACCTTTTTCTGTTTTTCCTTTGCACTATGCATGCATTTGTAGGCAAACAGGTTTGTTAGCAAAAAGAAATGAAAGAAAAGGTGGAACAAGAGGTCTCTGCCTATAGCTGGTTTCCTATGAGATGTCAACCTTGCAAAAATAATGCAGAAAGGAGCAGAACTGGAATAAGAATGGAAAAAATCTGAAGGCCTTGTATCTCACAGAATTCAGGCAGGTTGCTTTTAACTCAGCAGCCTGTAGCCCTCATGAGCCAGGAAGTTTCTCACCTCTTAATGCAAACCAGCTGACTTTTTCCCTGGTAAAAATAGGATTTGGCTTGTGGCAGAAGTAAGATTGTCCCTCTTTGTTCATTTTCTGCACTCCAGCTGGGCACAGTTTCTGCATTCTTGACTTTACCAGAGTTGTTTATTGGTCTTGCAGTACCAGTATCAACAAGAGTGGGGGTTCTCTGTGCCAGCAACTACATTTATATACTAAAGGAGATGATGATCCCTATTCCAAAACCAGCACTGATTTCTGCTCCTCCAGACCACCCCTTTATCTAGATAAGGCATCACCTGCTCTTATTTGATTTCAAGGAGCTAAAGTGGCTCTCTCGAGCACCCAGGTAATGGTAATCAGAATTTAGGAGTATTTTTTACATAACTGCCTGGCTCCCTGAGTGTTTCACTCCTCATTGACTGAACATTTCACAGACGAGTATGTCCATTCTCCATAAACATTCCTTTCTCTTAAAAACTGCTTTCTCCTCGTTAGACTCTCTGCTCAGTGCCACCGAGAGAAGTGATCTCAAACCCTTGGATGTGAACATGGCATCTCCGCATTGAGAAAAGGATGAAATGCAGTATGGATTTGCCTACATTTGACATGTTTTGGCTTCCCAGTTAACACTGCACCTGGATTTACGCCAGACTGAAGTTACAAAACGTGTAGACATTACTCACAAGAGGCAAGGCCAATGCTTTAACATAACCTCAAAGTTACTGGCAGAACAAAGCCTATTTTTCCAACAAAAACGACTTTGCTAAACACATTTGTGTTAAGTGAATTTGGAGACCATGCATGAAAGTCACAAAGGCCTCTCTCAAGTTTTGATTCCAGGTTGATATATATCTCTCTTCCTCCTTTGGCTTCAATATGTAGTTTCCCTTGTGACCTGGCTGGAAAACGTGTGGTTGCTGGAGATGCTGTTGGATTTCCTGGTGAAGGCAAGTCGTTTTTTCTTCTTTCTCCATGGCAGGCAGAGGAGTGTGAGCGTGGAGATGAAGATCTGTCGGAAGTTTGCAGACACCAGGTTGTAGAGAATGGGGTTGATTGCCGAACTGACGTAGAAGAGGACATTTGTCAGCATGTAGAAGTAGTGGTAGAAGTTAAAAAGGAAACTGCAAGAACAGACAAAAGATAAAAATCTAAGTAGTCTGAGGAAATCTGACATAATTTAAAGCCACAAGGGTGAGAAAAAGACACAATGAAGCTCAGCTGAGCTTTCTTGGTTAGGGGCATGTGCTTGCCAGTGGGTATCAATGCATGGTCCACCAAGGAAACATCCATATTTCCACCTGGGGAGGGCCAAAAATAGGTCAAATGACCTACAGAGGTCTTGCCCTAGCCCCGGGTCTTACAAGCAGAATCTCTTTATGTAGCTGTGAAGAATTAATTTAGCAAAAATTTCCCTTCTTCATGGGTAGGCAGACTCATTTATACATTGTTATGTCAAGCTGCTGCAAGCTCTTATTAGCCATCATACGGATAGCTCACCATTCATAATATGGTTATAAATTCAGTGCTTTTCTAAAATCTCACTTGGCTTTTAAAAGAAGAAAAAAATGTCGGAATGTAGCCGCTATGAATAAATTCACAGTAAGAGCTGATAAAATTCTCTACCCCTTTTACTCAAAGCAAATCCAGACGTTACATAATTAATTACTGCTTTAAGTGCTTTTCATATAGGAAAGAAAACAAGAAAAAAACAGTTTACCCTAGTGAGTGCCCAAAGCTCTGTTTTCATGCTTAAATAAGGTTTGGTGTTTTTACTATGGCTGGATCCACAATTCTTTTCTGTAGACTGCTGTACTGTAAATTACTATTATTTGTGCTTGGAGTTTATAAAATTTTAATGTCTCTCAGTTGATCCACTTTTTAGCATTGCAGATATTTTCCTTTTTCCCTTTTTTTTCGTGTTCATTGTAGGAAACAGACCCCATCCCAGAGAGCACAAGGGAGGTAGCACTTGGGAGAAGGACCTTTGTGGAAGCTCTTACTTTCTCCAAACGTCCCTCATGGGTCTTCCCCTAGGTTACCTGGGCGTATATTCCCAGAGGAAATTAGTGCTTAATCACATATTCACACTGAATGGGCAGCTCTGCAACTGCTCTGCAGGGACCCGATCTGGTGCTGCAGAAAGGCTGCTGTGGCTGAGGTGACGTCTGGGGACACTGGCACCCCGTGAGCAATGCATTAGACATGGGTGCAACTGCACACAGCCTGCTACCCCCTAACTCTCCAGGAACCCAGACACTTTCTGCTCAGTGACAACTGCTAGTACTTAATTTTGATTCATTGCCTATAAAAGCAAGTAAATAATCTACCCCAGGCTCAGTGAACAGTGCAGTTATTTTCCCGTCTGTGTAATGTCTCCTGTCATTTAGAAATTGTGGTGTTGTGGAACTAAATCGTGCGCTGACATGAGCTGTTCCATCCTAGGGCCGGTGATGGATGTTTCTGTCATGGATACAGCAATCCACTATAATCCCCCCAAGTCCAAATGTCATTTTAGCAAGGACTGTCAGGGGAAAATATTTGTCACTGTTGTTAACAGGGGACTATTCTGGGGGCCTCAGTGAAAGCAGCAAGGCCTGTTGATGCACCTAATTTCAAGCTCGTGCTTCCTTCAACCTCCTCTGGGAGTTTAGGTATTAAAATGAAGACTGTAAATTTGCCTGTCAATCCCAAGAAGAAATCCAAGAGAAGCAGCAAAGCAGCAATTAGAGGACTGGGGCTCAAGGCCCTTGTGTGGAGAGCAAATTGTTCTCCCATCCTCTCCCCAGCTGTAAAGCGAGGTGTTAAGGACCTGGTTCCCCCCGTGTTGTGGATGTGGCTTTCGGGCTTTGACTCACTCTGTCCAGTGCTTGGAGGGGACGTAGCAGAACATGAGCCGCCGTATGTGGTAGGGAAGCCAGCAGACCACAAAGGCAATCACCACAGCGCCTGCAAGGTACACAGAGAGTCCGTTACTTCCCGTGTGCAATTCTTCATCCGAGGTGGAAAAGGGAGCTGTCTCGGCGCATGTTTATCCCCGCGCGCTGCGGAAAGCTCCGTTTGCTCTTAGGTGGCTGCTGTGCAAAGCATCAACAAGCCTGAGGGGAGCTGTAAATGTCTGTAAAGTGCAGCAGAAATCAGAGAAAACAGCTATACGGGTAGATGCAGAAGAAGATACACTGTAGGTAAGGGACTGCCAGCACCTAGCTCAGGTTCTGGCTGAAGTAATATTGGACTTTACTTGCGTCTGTCCTTGTGTTTTATGCCCTTGTGGCACTGGTGTTTTGTCTAAAGTTCCCACAGAGACAGACAGTATATATTTTTCATCCAGGTAGGCAGGGAACTGGGGACAACATAATCCCATAGTTTGCTACATGGAGCTACATCTGCGGCACAGAGCCACTGACCACGGTCCCCACGGTGCTTGGGGTCATAAACGGCTTCAGAAGCTGCTTTTTGGGGCAGGATTGTCTCAGTTCTGCATTTGCGCAATATTTGAGCAAGGGAGTGCAAAACGCTTGGGTCTGACTATTGCCATAATAAAAATGATTAATTAGAAAGGTGAGCAGAGAAAGGCATTATGTATTTCTTTCCAGATTCTAGCTGAGAAACATCAGACAATGGAAAACAAAATGCAAAATGAATCAATTCTGAAGGATAAAAGCCCAAATGGTAAAGAGACTTTGTCAATCTAGATTGGAAAGTAGATGAATCAGGCAATCAAGGGAGAGACATGTTTCCTTTTGTAATACGTATTTCAGCCCTTCTATGAAAAAACAGGATTCTGGCAGAATCCAAGCAGGAAATAAAGAAATCTCGGTTAAAACATAACACAATAAAAACCATTCAGAAAATCAAGGCTAAATAAAATAATCATGTTAATTTTTTATCCCAAATTTGCTCTATAGAGAATAAGGGCCACATCACTCTTGTCCTTTATGTGACCTGTAAAGGATAGGAAGCCGCAGAGCAGTCTCGCGGGGCATTGTACCAACAGCGCAATCCAGGTTGGTGCTTAGACACAAAGGCTGTTTTTCCTTCCTCCTTGGGGTTGAAAAAATATTGCTGGGGATATGTGCCAAGCCCTGTCCCTCTCCTCCCGTGGGACTATGCCATAACTCAGAGAACATAACCCTTGGGGAGAGCCCCTGGTTGAGTCTCCCCATCACCGTTACGCAGCCGAGAGGCACAAGGAGCCTTCAGCAACTGGCCCCAACAGCGACGTGTGTTGGGGAGAAGGGTCTGTATGTCTCTTTGGGGGTATCATTGCTGCTGGAGTCACTGCCGGATTCCTACTGGCATTTGGGAGTTTCTGGCAGCCTTATTTCAGCCTCACAGGCTGTTTCTTTTACAAAACACAACTGCAGCACTGGAGAGGGCTCTGCTCCTTCAGTATCAGCCTGCACAAAGTATGAAAGCATCTTCCAGGAATGCTGAAAAAGCCATTTATTTGATAAAGTTTAAGGCAGAGAAGGGACATGTTTTGGAAGGAAGGCTGGAGGGTCTGTTTTCATTTTCCTGTCCAAGTAATTCGTTATTTTGATCTGACTATGTTTGGCTGCTGCACGGTCATTGTGAGTGCAGCCGGAACGCGTCACTCGCTGCCTGCAGCTCTTCAAACGGTCTAAAAAGACACAGTTAAGCGAATGAATTTGACCTGTGCCTGATCCTGCCCCAAGAAAGTTTGCTTTGGGCTTCAAAAGGGACAGCCCCTAAGAGAAACGTGGCACGGGAGAAGTGGGAAGTGTCATGTCAGGGACAACAGAGCAGTGACGTCCCCATGGGGACACCGAGAGCCCTGCTGGGACAGAGAGGGTCAGAGCTGGTCCAGCTTTCCAGCACCATGGAAAAGGCATTTGTGCACACCAGGATGTTTGGAAAATCTTTTCACCAACCTGCACACACTGGCATTTCCCAGTGCTTTCCACTGTGCGTACCTCTTGAGAAACAGCATGAGCTGAGTCCTTTTTGGAATAAACTTTAACAATCCTGCACATCTGGCTGTTAAATTTACTGATGTGTTAACTGGAAGAGGTGTTTTCCTCTTTGGAAAAGCTCTGTGCTCCTATAGCTTGGAGAGTGCAGAGCCAAATAATATGGAGACAGGAATCTATACCAGCAGAAACACACATTGAGAAGAGTAACTGCTTAACCTCAACAAACGAATAGTCAATTAAGTAATCTGTGGTAATTCTGTAATATTACATGCAATCACTCTGCAATTAAAACTCTATTAAACACATAGCTAAGTGCATTGGAGACACTTATGGTCTGATTTTAAAATCCCAGATGGTAGCGTGCTGTGCTGTATATCCGAATGGATTCTCCACCATGCGTTTTTGTACCACGAGCCGCTGTGCTGCTCAGATTAGGAGCCCCTGACCTATGTTTGCCACCCTTAATCCTTATGTTTTAATTTGATCATACATGGGCTCAAACAGATTTAGGGTGGCAATCCTGCCCTACTGCCTGCTGTCCCCAGGGATGAATTGGATATGTGGATATGTGTTAACATTTCATTTAATGCTGAGTGAAAGAACCAGTCACTGTTTATCTCTACGTGGTGGCATCAGTACAGGAAGGATCACGGCTGCTTCCCACCCTCTGCTCACCCAGCCCCGCGTTGGCTGCATCGCACTGAGCGGGTGCATCCAGTGCATGAAAAACAGGCCCTTCTGCCATTTCTCAGTAATTAAATCATTCCTGGCAAATGTGGTCTTAATAGAAGCAGGCTCTGCAAACTTCTCCTCTTTCCCACATTTGAGCAAGGGAGGTGCCACATGGTGACCCAAGGCCAGGGCCCGTGGGAGCGGGCAAAGGGGCAGTGGAGCCCAGGAGCCACCTGGGAATGCTGCTTCCACACAGCTGGATCTTCACTTCCCTTCTAAATCCAACTTCCAATTTTAAAGAACATTAAAGCCTGAATTATTACATCCTGTGGCTCTATATTTTGTCTTATAATGGCTCTATTTTCTGTCCGTTGGAACCGAATCCCAAGGAAGAAGGGAACAAGAGAGGAAGGAGGATAGGAGCAGAGAGGAGCTGTTGTTTGTTTATCGCACAGGAAGTCCTGCAGAGGAAAATATAAATTTTGAGTGACATCTTTTTCATTTTGGGAAAGGTGATTTAAACAATGCCAGTCTTGATTTTCAGACTAAACTGAATGTGGAAGCAATCCTGGAAGTTAAATTATATTAGATTACACTGTGAATTTTATTTTGCTTTGTGTTTATCCTGTGGTTATGGCTGGGAAACAGCCTAGATGACCTCACAGGCCTTTTCCATTTCTAACCTTTCTGAAAAACTCAGGCTGCGTCAGCATGAACGTTCAGAAATAAATCATGTGTAAAAAGGCCCTGGCAGGTGCTTGGAGGTTTTCTCAACTGTGTTCAGGAGCTGCAAAAAAAAGGAGTGATTTTGGGCCCCTCTGTCCTTCGTTAGGGGATATCTGAGGGCCAAAATGCCTCGCAGGCCTGGAGCTACCCCAGGGGAGAAGGGGCAGCTGGAGCAGGGTGCCTTGGGCAGGTGTTTTCCTCCCTGCCCTGCCTCCTTCTTTCTCTTCAGGTCACAGCAAGTCACAGCTCTGGGGCTCTGGGGCAGCCATCCTTGAGGACTCTTCCTGAGCCCATCTTTTCTTCTCATTCTTTCAATCCAATCTGACCATTTTACTTAATTTCTTTGCATTGCAAGGAGGGGTCATGAGACATAACACTGGAGAGGAGCGTGTCCTAACTTTTCAGTAAAGGCAGCAGTATGCCCCATCTGAATGAAAATTCCCAGCTTTTAGAGCTTCACCTCACCAGCCGTGTGTCTCCAACCCTGTTCAAGGAACGCTCACTCTTTTTGGTACTGAATAACATTTAAGATTGTGCCACAGCGCTCGAATCTGGGGTTTGCATTAATGCTGATTTCTGGAGAGACAACTTTTGTGTATTCAAAGCTTTTGGGCTTTATATGCTTATTTAGTTGATGCCATTGCATGAGAATCTATCACAAAGGGCAGCAAATATCACCGTGCCATTTGATATGACAGATGGTAAAAGCCGAGCCAAGTGTAGACGTAGTTGGCTCTGCCTAGCTAAACCTCGAGGCGCTGTTTATATTAGCATGATGCAGTACCTGACAGGTTGTAGGCAATATTTATACCAGCAGGCCCCGAACGAGGGATTAGAGCAGTTACAAGCCTGGGTATGAACCTGATAATATTAAAACTGTGTATGTCGGTATTTGGGTCACAAGGCTGCAGAAGGGTCTCCATAAAAGTGGAATAACAACCAGCAGAGATTGGGGAGCACTGATACACACTGACAAAGTCCAGGGGAAAAAAATAGCAAGGCAAAAGTGGGAATAGGGATAGTCCTGGGATGCCAACTCCCTCAGACATGGTGGAAGGCTCCCAGAGTCTTGCTGGATGCAACCCACTGACGCAGTCGTGCGTGTTACTCAGCAGTGCAAACATTACATTTGTCTCCTTCATTTCCATTCCTAGCAGTGAGAGATCTACTTTTTAGCTTTCCATATAATTTCCATTCCTCTTTTTCCTGCTGTTAGAGAATTTTCTTGTCTTTGTGTCTCTTTTTTTGGATTTAGGTATGGAAGATCCTATCTCTTTTGAAAGGAGCCCTATTGATCTAAATGCACTTTCTTTAACTACAGAGAGAGAGCACAGTGAATAGAAAAAACTTCTGTCATGAATAAAAGCACAGTGTTTCACTCAGATGATACTTTCCCATCCTGATTTTCAGTGGCTTCAGCTAACACAGGTTTGAAAACAGGTATGAATTCCTGCCCCCTCTGGCACTACTTAGACCTGTTTTTTGTTCATACAGAACAAGGCGGAAAATGAAGATTAAAAGAAGATTTCAGAATAGGTCCTAACACAGCAGAACTTTCTTGACAGTCCTGTGCAAATGGGGTGGGGGGAGAGGTGTGTGTTCCTCATTTCCTTC